AATTGGACATTCCTTTCCTTCCACAGTCCAGGGTCAGCCTGATTCCAAGCTGCAGCTTCTGGCGTTGGGCTTGAACTCTGAACCTTCTGTTGCCCACTGCAAATTGGAAAAGGCAGGTTTGCATTTATATACAGCCTTTCATAATCTCAAGATTACTGGTGCTGGTTAATAAGATTAAAAAAACAGTGATTTAGTAATGAGGGATGAAAACATTCAGTTGTGTGTGATAACACTTCATAATCTCAGAAGGTCCCGCAGTACCTTAGAGGCAATAGAAGTGTAGCTTCTGTCATAGGGTCATACAGCACAGGAGCAGACCCTTCAGTCCAACTTGTCCATGCCGACCAAGTTTCCCAAACTAATGGCTGGACACTCTTCACCTGCTCTCACTATCCATGTTCTGTATAAACACACCAGTGAATTCAACAAAGTGCCAGAACATCTATCAACTCCCACCTCAATCCTGGCCATTTACTCTTCAAAGTCAAAATCTCCTATGTAGAATAAGTAAAGGGAGACCCTTCAGCCCATCGTGCCTGTACCAGCTCTTTCAAAGAGCGATCTAGTTATTTTTATTCATTCATGGGATGTAGGTATCATTGGCTCAGCCATTATTGATTGTCCACCCTTGAGACGGTGGTATTGAGCTACCTTCTTGAACCACTGCACTCCACGGGGTCTAAATCCATCTATAGTGCTGTTAGAAAGGGAGTTCCAGGATTTTGACCCAATAACAGGAATACATTTCCATGTCAGGATGGTGGACAGCTTTCAGGCAATGCTGGAGCAAATCCCATTCCTGCATCTGGAGTTAGTCTCACTACCTCACTCTTGCCACACGTTCCTGGAAATTGTACACCCATTGTATTCATCCAACTCCCTCTCGAAATCTGTGTCCCGTTCAGCTGGTGCATTCCCAATCCTAAAGCAGGGTTTTCCAAGAGGGGTTGGGGGGTGGGTGGGATGGGTGTGGCCACCCCATTTGGGACCACAGGCCGAGATCCTGGGATTGCCAAGTCCAACTCAGCAATGGCCACCACGGAATTCTGCCCCCTCCCCATCACTGTCTCCCATTCTCACAGATCAATGCCCGCCGACCCCTCCACTCCCACAATTCTCACTGAGGTTTTGTAACCACTTTCAAGCCAATGACGGGAAAAAGGAAATCCTGAGCACATTGTAAAAAAATTATTTTCCTCACGTCATCTCTGATCCTTTTGCCAATCATCTTAAATTTGTTTCTGAACAAATTAAGCTTCTCCGGTTTCTCCACAAACTATAATCCCTCACTGGTGGAACAATTTTAGTAAACGTGGTCTGTACCCTCTCAAAATGCCTGAATATCCCTCCAAAACAGTGATCCCCATAATTGGACTCAACTCTCGGTCATGCTTCGTGGAGGTCACTTCTTCAATGTTCCACTGTACATTTTGTGATGAGCCATGAGTTTTGGGAAAAGCAGATTTTTTTTTAAAATTGCAAGCTGTCCCTTTTACAACCAAGGTTGCCCGCACAGTATTTTGTAATGTGGTTAATGGGTTTCCTGATAATGGCATTAAAAAATGCCATGTAAGCCGAGGTTGTCATGGGGATGTAAAGCTAAGAAGCAAAAAGGAAGTCAGTGGCAGTGTCAGGGTTCTATCTTGGCTAGTGATGGCAAGCAGAAGGTTCTCTAAGAATGGATTAACCTTCTGTTTCACTGTTTAGAATCCCTATAGTGTGGAAACAGGCCATTCGGCCCAACAAGGCCACACCACCCCTCCGAACAGCGTCTCACCCAGACCCATTCCCTTACCCCTGCATTTCCCATGTCTAACCCACCTAACCTAAACATCCCTGGGCACTATGGCCAATTTAGCATGGTCAATCCACCTAGCCTGCACATCTTTGGACTGTGGGAGGAAACCAGAACACCCAGAGGAAACCCATGCAGACATGGGGAGAACGTGCAAACACCACACAGACAGTTGCCCGAGGCTGGAATTGAACCTAGGTCGCTGGCGCTGTGAGGCAGCAGTGCTGACCACTGAGCCACCGTGCCACGCCGTTTAGAATAGGGCTGTGACAATATTGAAGAGACTGTGTGGCTGTGTATGTGACATACCTTTGGGAAGGAAAGGGAGGGGAGGGAGGAGAGAGGGGAGACAGAAAGAGCAGAGGATTCTGAATTAGACAGGATCCAATATTGCTGTTTCAGAGCAGTCAGAGCCTGATTATAGGGTCCAGCAGAAGGACTATTTGGAAGTTTTGCAGTAATGGGCTGCTGTGATCTGACTGAGAGAGGGTTTGTTGATTTATGCCTGGTCAGTATAAATCATTTTCATGGACTTTGGATTGAAAGTGGCAGGTGATGAACATAGCTCAAGGGCTGAAATCACTGAGTAAGAAATGAAAGGACAACATAGCAGAGGCTGAGTTGGGAAAATGATGAGATTGTAAATGATGGAGGTAATGCACCTGCTTGTAACCATGTGAAGTGTACCTTCGCTGTATTGACAAATTTAAAATGAAATTTCTCTTTTTATTTGCCTTCACCTAATCAATGTTTGAATAAAAACAGAAAGAACTGTGGATGCTGTAAATCAGGAACAAAACTGACGTTGCTGGAAAAGCTCAGCAGGTCTGGCAGCATCTATGAAGAGAAATCAGAGTTAACGTTTCGGGTCCAGTGGTCCTTCCTTAGAGCAAAGCATCATCAGGATTCCTTTAAGAGCTCTCCGTCTGTGTGGGGATTATAACTGTTAGTATTTATAAAGCTCATGACCTTGCGTGCCTTAATATCTGTTCTGTCAGTCTGTCTTACTGCCTTCAAAACTTAATGCAGAAGCACTCCCAAGTCTTTCTGTCCCTTAACACTCTATCATTTGGTCTGTGTTAACTCTCCTCATTCTAACAAGAAAAATATAACTCACTTTTCTACGTTGAATTTCATCTATCATGTGTCTATCCATTCCACACCTTGTTTACGTCCTGTTTCAGTCTATCACTTAATGCCTCACTCAACTACAGTGATGTTTTTTCCCCATCTGTAAATTTCATATTCGCCCAGACCCATCCTCCTTTCATTCCCAACAGTTAGTTCATAAGCAAAAGCAGCAGGGGGTCTGAGCACCGAGCCTTGGTGAATATCACTATACTCTGTACAGCAAAGGGTTAATACTCATATGTAAACACTGCTGAAGCAGCTGACTAAGGGGTCTGGAGCAGGTGGGACTTGAACTCAGTATACCCAGGGGTATATCCAGTTTAAAAAGAAGTTAAATAAAAGGCAATAATTTTAGACTTTAACAGTTTTTTGTCGAGTACACAATCCCTTCTAATACTGACCACCATAAAAACAGATATCCTTCCCTCCAGTTTTAAGATCTGTTTTCTCTTAGTCACTCAATGTTATATCAATCCCCTTGCCATCTCTTTAATCCCATGGCTACATTGTGCTCACAAGCCTAATGAGGTGACAAATGCGTTTTGAAAATGTATTAGATACACAGACACGAACTACGCTGCAGTTTGTTATCTCAGAAACAAAAACTAACTCAAATTTGTCAAACGCAATGGCTCCACTTTATTAGTCCAGGCATGTTCAAGCAGCTTTCAACATTCTCCTGGGTTAATGTCGCTCAAACGTTCCTCGCCAACTGGTGTTTCACTGATTGGTCAAGTTTATCTTTCTAGCCCTAATCAAACAGGGAAGCAAGATTTGCATCAGAGAAATATCGGAATACAATGTCTTCAGTTCCTTCTCAATCACTACCCTTACTTCCCCTGGCGATCTCATCTATACAGTATGGATTACTTTACACACAACATTCTTAGTATTTCCAGTTTATTTTTACATTGTCCTGTATCCTGTTAACGTCTTCAACTACCAGTCATGATGCAGTGGTAATGTCAGTCAATTACTCACCCAGAGAGCCAGGTTAGTGTTGAGGGCCTCAAATCCCACCAGAACTGCTGGTGGATTATTTAAATTCATTAAGAAAATCTGGAACTGAAATTTCGTCTCAATAACAGTGACCACGAAACTATTGCCATTTGTTGCTGAGATCTATCAAGTTAGAAAATCTGCCATCCGAACCTTGTCTGGCCTACGTGAGACTCCAGACCCACAGCAATATGGCTGACTCTTAACTGCTCTCTGAAGTGACCCAGAGAGTCACAACAGCAATTATGCATGGGGCAATAAATGCCATCCCTGCTAGCAATCTCCACAAAAACTGAAAGAAATAAAATACGTGAATTGTCAAGTTCCCTTCCTGGGTAAACACCAATACAAAGAACATGCTTAACACCTGAGGTATGACTTGATTGATTGACTGATTGATTTTATTGTCATGTGTACTGAAATACAGTGAAAAGCTTTGTTTACAGGCGGTACAGGCAGATCACAGCAAGCAAAGGATGTACAGATCAAAGAGACTTAGAGGCATACAGGTTGCATTGCAGGCTACATTATTTGAGGCTACAGTCCATTCAACAGTCTGATAACATACAGTAAGAAGCTGTTTCTGAACCTGCTCATGCATGTGTTCAGGTTTCTGTATCTTCTACCTGACGGAAGAGGTTGTCAGAGATCATTGCCAGGGTGCAATAGGTCTTTGATGATGTTGGCTGCCTTTCTGCAGCAGCAAGCCGTGTAAATAGAGTCCATTAATGAAGGGTCTAGGCCCGAAACGTCAGCCTTCCTGCTCCTATGATGCTGCTTGGCCTGCTGTGTTCATCCAGCTCTGCACCTTGTTGTTTCAGATTCTCCAGCATCTGCAGTTCCTACTATCCATGAATGAAAAGTTGGCTTATGTGATGGTCTGGGCTGTACACGCCACCTTCTGTAGTTTTTTACGGTCCTACACAGAGCAGTTGCCACACTAGGCCATTATGAACGCGGACAGTATGCTTTCAACGGAGCATCTGTAGAAGTTGGTGAGGAACGTTATGGACATGCCAAGTTTCCTGAGCCACCTGAGGAAGAAGAAGCGTCATTGTGCCTTCTTGACTCTCACATTGACATGGGAAGTCCGGGACAGGTCGTTGGTTATCGTCACTCTGAGGAACTTGATGCCCTTCATTCTCTCGGCCTCAGTTCCATTGATGTAGATGAGGGCGTGTTCTCCTCCTTTCTTTCTGAAGTCAATGATCAGTTCTTTAGTTTTGCCAACGTTGAGAGGCAGATTGTCTTCATTGCATCACGTCACCAAGCCCTCTGTCTCCCTTTTGTAGTTTGACTTGTTAGATATCTGTCCTACTACGGTGGTGTCGTCAGCGAACTTGTCGATGGCGTTCGTTTGGAATTTGGTCACACAGTCGTAGGTGTACAGGGAATACAGTAGGGGCTGAGGATGCATCCTTGGGGGGCTTCAGTGTTGACTATTATTGAGGATGGGGTGCAGTTACCTATCCTCACTGATTGCAGCCTATGGGTCAGAAAGCTGAGGATCCAGTTGCAGAGGGTGGAGCCGAGACCAAAATCATGCAGTTTTGACTTTGGTTCCTACTCAGCCCTCAGCCCTCCTTTTGTAATTTTATTGCTGTAATAGAAAAACTTAAGATTCCATTGTGTGTTAACCACTAATCTATACTCACATTAGTCTCTCCTACTTCCCTTTTCATTTCTCCTCCGCACTTTCTAGAGTCAGTTTGGTTAGCCGCACTCCCTCAGCACTATTCCGACCAATATACTCTCTCGTTATACAAACTACAATCTTAAAATCACACGGGAAATCTAAAATCAAACCCATAACATCATCTAAAAGAACAATATCCTGCCACACTGTTTCAGTGTTCATTGTCTAATTATGGACAAACAGTTCCATCTCATAACTAACTCTAGGCACCGACATTGCCTCAAGAGGGAATTCTATCTCTCACCGGGTTTACTGTGATGCTCAAGTACAAAGGTAAGATTGCATTGATTTCACTGACTACATTCTCAGGATGTCTCAAACCATTTCAAAGACTTTGAACTGTAATGGAGGTGAACTGTCAAAAAAAAAGAAACATTTCACACTAAGTAAGAAGATGAACGACCTGCTTCTTCCACTGTCCAGATTAGTAACCCCCTGACCTCCTCAATCTCTCTAGTTCCAATTTTCCCACATCCACAGTCTCGTGCTTGCCCGTCAGAGTTGGTGGACAGGGATCAGGAATCTAATCTAATCATGGCACACTTCTGGTTTCCTGAGGAAGCCAAAGAGACAGCTAACTGGACAGTATGTTATAGGACGCGGTCCCACCTCTGAGATTACATGGAACTTTACATTCGGTCGAGAGTCGGAGGTGGTGGGGGGATGGTGTCAGGCAGGTGTCAGGAGCCAGCACATAGCGATGGAGCAATGGCCTTGGATTTGGACCCACAGACATGAGGTGCTTTGTAACAAAAACAGAAATTGTTGGAAAAGCTCAGCAGGTCTGGCAGCATCTGTGAAGGAAAAATCAGAGTTAACGTTTCGGGTCCAGTGACCCTTCCTCGGAACTGACTGCAGATGGGAAAAAAGGTCAGTTTATATGCAGAAGATAGGGTGACAGGAGGGGATAAGGAATAAATGATAGGTGGGATACAGCCCGAACAGAGAGAAGAACAGTTGTATAGACAAAGGAGTGGATTATGATCTGGCTAGGAGGGTAAATAGCTGTTAATGGGTGCTGTTAGTGGTTTAACAATAGATTGTGTGTTAAAACAGATTGTGTGATAACAAGGCCTGTTTGTGGGGGTTGGTGCAAGGACGTGGGAGAGCTCAAGCCTGAAAACTGTTGAATTCAGCATTGAGTCCAGAAGGCTGCAGAGTTTCCAATTCGAAAATAAAGTGCTTGGTACCTGTACGGAGGAGAACAGGGACTACAGAATGGATGAGCTAACCGTGGCATCACAGAGCAAGATGGTATTCAATTGGGGAAGACTAAAAGGAATTCCGGAGTGATAGGGAATAGTGTAATCGGGGCAAAACAAAGTTGCTGAAAAAGCTCAGCAGGTCTGGCAGCATCTGTGAAGGAAAAAACAGAGTTAACGTTTCGGGTCCGGTGACCCTTCCTCAGAACGGGTCTGAGGAAGGGTCACTGGACACAAAATGTTAACTCTGTTATTTCCTTCACAGATGCTGCTGGACGTGCTGAGCTTTTCCAGCAACTTTGTTTTTGTTCCTGATTTACA